TGCTTATTTGTACTCTGTGACTATCATTTTGTGTTGTACCTTATGATTCTTGATGACTGTATCTTTTCTTTTTACGTACACTGAGAGTATATGCACCAAAGACAAATTCCTTGTGTGTCCAATCACATTTGGTCAATAAAGGTTTCCATTCCATTCTATTCTATTTATACCACACAGAAGGTGTCAAAGTGTGCCATAGGAAAATAAATAAAAATCAATTTAATCTAAATATATACAAATTAGATAATTTAGGCCATCATGTAGCTCAGATATACTAATATAATAGAAACATGGCTTGCACTTTTTAATATAAAGTTATTTTCTAAGAAAAAAGGTAGAAATGGCTAATTTTGCATTAAAAATAGTGTCAAACCCAACCAGATGTAACTGAAACAGAAAATGGGAAGCCTATAATTTATATGATATCACTCTGCAATAAAAATTCTACAATTGCACTTAAAATTATCTAACGGCAAAACTTACATCACAAATATTCTTGAAGCTATATAACAGAAATTTAGTAAAGGATACAGTAACTCATATCAACAGAAAACAAAACTTGTCACAATATGGCAAAAATGATGTGTGATCAATTGGTCCCAATTTAATTTATACCACAGCAAAATGATTGTGCTATGCCCAACACAGCACAACAAATCCAAATAAAATGTCTGAAATTCTGATGTCTGTTTTAAATAACATCCACTTTAAAATACTAATTTTTAAACAATGCTATAATATATTTGGCATCATGTCAGTTCTAAATCAACGGTTTGCCATGAATTCATTCCTGGCCCAGAAAAAAGGAGCAAATCTGATTTTGATTGTGGCACAGAAGACTTGTTTTTGCATTCAATGTTCAACAATGCCAATTATATCTGACAGGCCAGCTGTTAGTCCAGTTTTCAGAAGTAACTCCAGCCCAGAACCACAAAAATGATGTCGATGGTGGTATCTTGCTAACCTCGCCTGGCCTCTAAAACTGCACAGCATTCAGGTCCAGCTGGTACCCGGGCAGGAGGACCAGCAACGACTGGATGGGGATGCCACCCCACTCCCAGCCCCCAGGGCAGTTGGCAAGCCACATTTAGAATGATAGCCCTGAAATTGCAGGGGTTTGTCTGACCTGAACTCACTTTGGTGGCGTTCTTATGTCCACATGTTCTTGCAGGGCTTCTTCTGGGGTGGGATTGTGTGTGTGTGTGTGTAAACTGCAGTTCCTCATTCCGACAACCTGGAATTGCAAGGAATTTGGAATTTATCAAAGCAAATCACAGGAATGGCCATGAATGCTCCATTAAAAGCTAGACGAAAATTAGCCATCCCGAACTTTGAGGAGCTGCCACAAAGAAGAGAGGGTCAAGCTATTAGCCAAAGCACCTGAGGGTAGAACAAGAAGCAATGGGTGGAAACTAATCAAGGAGAGAAGCAACTTAGAACTGAGGAGAAATTTCCTGACAGTTAGAACAATTAATCAGTGGAAGAATTTGCCCAGAAGCTGTGAATCAGGGGTGGGTTTCAGGCGGTTCGC